GTCCCTACCACTAGTATGAAAATGCAGAAAAGCAATCTGCATTAGGATTTATTTTGTCTAATTTTTTGTTACTACGGCTCAGTTTGGAAAGAGAATAAATATAAATATATTGACTGTAAAATCTTATATTTCATGTGTATTTGTATTTTTCATTTTTCTAAACTAAGCCCATATAAACAATATATGAATCCAAATCTCTTACAAATAAAAATTTTATTTACATAACATCTAATCATATATTAAGAATATCTTTCGTATATATATATATATATTAAATTTTTGTTTGTTGTAGAACTTATGGTTCCAAATCAAATACTTTTTTGCTGCTGGAGTTTGGCCTAACTTTGACTTTATTGCTTCGGAGAATCGTTAAGTAGTGCCTGTCAATGTTTTATTGAACCGGCGTAGTCGAGGCTCCCAAACGGGGAGATGGCACCGAGATCGAGAAGTTTAGTTCTTGAAGTACTGAAAAAGACCATGTGTGACAAGTTGGGCTTGGGAAGAAGGTGATTCCTTAGGTTACGTTTGGAAATAATGTAATTATGTAGAGTGTAAAATGGTTCATATAAATTACAAAGTTGGGTTAGTTTTGTATTGACAAATTTACTTTCTTACCAAACAGATTTTTAGCTGCAATGGATGCAAACACAAATTCTAATAAAGCATGTTTTTTTTTTTTTTTTTTATCAAAAGCCCATTTGAATGCAAATTTACATCTTTTTTATTGATGTACTTTTACATCTTATTATCAATGTAAATATGCATTGGTCTCTTATTTATCAATGCAAAAATGTAATGTTGCCAAACATAAGCAAAAATAAACCAGAATGCAAATTTACCCTGAACTGGGATTTACACTCCATTTGCATTTTTTCCAAACGCAGCCTTATGAATTTTGCATGGCAGTTATTTCTATATTTCACAGGGAGTGGCAGTCGTCCATTTCTCTAAAGAGAAAAGAAAATTTCAGGGAAAAACGATTCAGTTTCTCTTCTCCCTTTCTCACTCCCCATCAAACAAAAACAATGACCCAATATCAACTATTCACCTTCCTCCCTTGGCTCAATTTGGAAGGAGTACAATTGTAAATTTGTAGAGTGTAAAACCTTGTATTTTGTATTATTTTGTATGTATTTGCACTCTACAAATTTGCATTTATACTCCTTCCAAACTAAGCCTTAATATTTTAACGAATCAAGTGAAGAATGACTTAGCTGAATGAGGATACACAAAGAAAAAGGTTAGAAAAGTGGCTTCATGACCGTCGGGTGTTTCTTTGTTCATTGTCGGAGAAGATGATGAACAGAGTGACTACAGATGTGGAAAGACTGAGATGAGGGGGGAGAAACGAGAAATGAGGTGAAAATAATTAATGAACTGGGCCTCAGAAAATTGGTACAAACTTAGGTGTTTAAGAGAGGGCAAAACAGACATTTCAGTCATTCTGTTAATATTTTAACAGTAATGATAATTTTCCGAAACAGTAAGGGTAGCATTAGACAATAGTCAAACAGTATGGGTGTACTTAGTCAATTAGATTAACCATAAGGGTATTTTAAGAAATTTACCCTTACTTTTACAATTCAAACTTCAAAGCATTTATGATGTTGATTGTCACACTGGATGAAATAGAAACCGGATCTGCTCCTCACACAAGGCGCCTCACATCGACCTCACACGCACATCCTACCATGCATTGGGAACATCTTCCGTACTTATAAGTTATTATTCATGGGAGATGTTCCCAATGCACGATGGATGTGCCTGTGAGGTGCCTCTGTGTGAGGAGCAGATCCCGTTCCAATGAAACATCAGAGGATGTAGGCCTTGTTTTGAGTGCACTTGTCGTTTTCTTTCATTTGAGATCGGTTTCAATTAGTGCAAGTTTCGTTCGAACCACCTTTCCGTGCAAGCTTCATTCTAAAACTTCCATTGTCATTAACTTTCCATCATACTCCATTCACATGTGACATCACGTAACTGATAAATTTTTTAAAATCCCTAAAATACCCCTCCTATGAATTGTTCATCGTTCTCAATAGCAAAGTGTCAGTGATAAGAACCCCTTTTCCTTCCAATCTGGGCAATGGGCACTCGCCCATTTGCAGCCTTTTGAAGGAGTGCAATGGCTAAAATATGGGTTGTGCTGGTATTGTGGTTGCCCTTGGCATTGTTTGTGGCCATTTGGAGGGTTGAAAAGGTGATGTAATCAACTGTTTAAGGGGTTGTTTACGAAAGAAAAAAAAAAGGAGAAATTGTTGGGGTTTTCTACGGATGTTATTGCCATTGATGAATGATGATGAGTTCCATCCTTGCTTTGAACCGACTTTGGAGTGGGTTTGCGTTCTGAGAAGGGTCCGATGAAGTGAGAGAGACCTAGGATGGCAAATTTATGAATTTCTGTTGTTGGGTTGGGAAGGGGACGAGAGGAATTGGGTTTTGCGGGTGGAGATGGAGGGAATGTTCCGTTAGATTCATTGTTGCTAATGGATTTGTTGAGTCTTGCATTCTCTACTGCTAAGGCATAACAGAATGCTCTGTGAGTAATGGAGCTGTCATTCCATTACAAAAATCATAAATGAGTAATTAAGCGAAAAGATTGCCATTCAAGGACGACTGGAGGTTGTAGTTACTTTTCTTTTAGTTAATTTTCTATTTATAGCATTAGATAAGAATGACGAGTAAGAAATTATGATCCAAAATCCCTAGTTCCAGTCTGGTTTTGCAGTTTGTTTGTCTCTAGGGACTCTTCCCAACTTTGAAGGTAGGGGTGATCATTTCATCCGGGCCTGGCCCGGAAATCCGGGCTAGGGCCTAGGTTTTTTGTTAAGGCCTGGCCAGGCCTGCATGGTCTTGGGCCTAAAAATTAGGCCCAATCTGGATATTTATAAATTATATATATATGTTATTTAAAAATATTTAATAATTGATGTTTTATATATTAAATAGAGATTAGTAGAGATTTGTAGGAGATTAAAGATTTTAACCCTACGGTCATAGATATTACCAAATTCTAATCTAGTATTTAATGAAATATAGAAATTACTAAACCCTAATCTTCTCAACTCTCTCTCTCTCTCACCAATTTCACAAAACCACTGCTGTGCCCAATCTCTCTCACCAAAAGATGAATCTCCTAGTGATGAAGACTCCATTGATGAAGATAAATATGAAGTTTAGAGTGGTTGCAAGTTTTGGGTAAAATTGAAACAATTTTCAATATTTTATTACTTATTTATTTACATTAATTTGAACTATTTTTTCTTAGTTTGCTAATATCTTTTTTATTTCACTTTTTATTTGTAGGAGTTGAATGGAAGATGGAGTCCCTTATAGAGATGTTTAAAGTTGTTTTGTGGATATTACATGACAATGGATGGTTATTTTTGATAGATATTATAGGTTATAGGTTGATTTTTTGTTGATCGAAGAATTGGTTTGTTAAAATTGTCATTTTTAGCATACTAATGACCAATTGAAATTTATAAATTACAAGGTATAATTATTTAATTTCTTTTGTGTTAGAAACTTTTATCTTGATATTAAGTTTAAAGTTTCTTATAGGTTATTATAGTCTCCATGACAATAAGTGAAAAAAAGTACAATTGTTTAATTTTGGAACTGAAATACAATAATTAGGCCCGGAATCTTGGCTCGGCCCAGCTCGGGCTTATGTAGGGCCAGGCCCGGGCTTATATTTTTAGGCCCATAATGCGGGCCGGGCCTAGCCTAAACCCATCATTATGAAGGCAAAGCCCGGCCCAGCTCGGCCCAACCCATGATCACCCCTATTTGAAGGGAAGTCTCTTTAACAACATTAATTAGAAGAAGGGTGATGAAAGGGATTGTTTTGCCCTCAAGAACTTAATCACAATGGTCTATTCCCACCAATGACTTCGTTTTTAACAAAATGAGAAATGGGCAGATTCAAAGTGCATATTAGTAATCTTATCTATCAGTGTCGACAAGCTTCTCAAACTAGTTGGACTGGACAATATGATGGCAATTCCTCTGTGTCTCCAAAACATCATTGTCGAAGTTACGATCCGCTTTTCCATCTTCCTGAATATTTTTATCAGTTAAGTTTTATTTTGAAATTTTGAGAAATAGTAATGAGTAAATTCAATATTTTATTTCTTTCTGTTAACTAATTAACTAAACCATAAGAGTAGTTTAAGAAATTTATCCTATTTATTTTCATTATAAAGCAGGCAAAGGAGTTTTGTTTTCACCAACGGCCATCATCGGCAACCACTTACAAAATTGAACACGTACAATGAAAAAAGAACGGGGTAGTTGTGTATTCTGTGCCTTTTTTACGAATAAACAAAAGGAATCAAACAAAATTTTTAAAAAGGAAATGCATACAAAGGAAAAAGAAAAGAAGAAAAATCAGCCAAAGGTTGCAAATTTAGAAGAAAATTTGACAAGCAGAGATTGATAGTATAAGAGAAAGACCAGAACAATGAGAGGAGAATGACTCAGTCGAATATTGACTGGTCTCTTGAGCATTAAATAGAAAACTGGTTACAAGAGGATAAGTATGTATAGGAGATAACAATTACAAAGTTAAAATTTATCTAGGAAACTATCAGAGGATAAGCTACATGATAATGAGATAAGGTGATTAGTTATCTAGGATAGTTATCTAAGATAGCTATCAGAGATAACGGTCCTAGTCACTAGTCTATTGTAACTACTGAGATACTCTAACACCCCCCCCGCAAGCTTAGCAGTCTCTTGGAAAATGGTAAGCTTGGCTATAAGGTCATGAAACCTCGTTGATGGCAAATGTTTGATAAGAATGTCTGCAATCTGATCATGGCTAGGAATGTGGTTGATCAGTAGAAGGCCTACTGCAACTTTTTCTCGTATAAAGTGAACATCAAATTCTATGTGCTTGGTGTGAGAATGGTGGATAGGATTGGATGAGAGAAACTTGGCACTCAAATTGTTGCACCAGATGATAGGTCGTCAAGGGAGCTTCAATCCAAGCTCCTTTAGTAACATTTGGAGCAAAAGTAGTTCACGGTAGTGGAGGCAAGACTGCGGTATTTTGATTTTGTGCTAGAGCAAGAAACTGTTGACTGTTTATGAGAGCTCCATGAAATCATATTACGGCCAAAGTAAACACAGAAATCCCCTTGGGAGCGACGATCAACAAGGCAACTAGCCCAGTCAGCATCATAAAAAGCTTCGAGAGCCAATTCTTGAGAAGAACGAAATGTAATGACATGATCAATTGTGGACTTGAGATAATGGAGGATCCTCTTGACTGTAGTCCAATGAACATTAGTGGGCTCCTTCATAAATTGGCAAACTTTGTTAATGGAGAAGCTGATATCCGGCCGAGTAAGGGTAATATAATGTAGTGCCCCTACCACACTTCGATATTCGGTGGCATCTAGAAGAGGAGAACCATGAGTGACATCAAGTCCGATAGATATCGCCATAGGTGTATGAATTGGTTTAGCCTCATGCGTCTTGGTCTTGACGAGAAGATCATGAATATATTTACATTGGGATAGATGCACCCCATCTGACTGCGATGCAGTTCCAACCTTAGGAAGTAATGAGCTTCCCCAAGATCTCGAAGAGCAAAAGTGGTTTAGAGCTGAGAGATGAGTTGTGTAAGTGCAGAATTAGAAGATCCAGTGATCAATATGTCATCCACATATACAAGAAGAAATATGACATCAGTGCCAGTCTGCCGCATGAATAGAGAACTATCTGCTCAGGATTCCAGAAAACCAAGATGAACCAAATGATCCCTTAATCGAGTAAATCAGGCCCGTGAGGCTTGTTTCAAATCATAAAGGGAACATTTAAGTTGACATACAAAATGTGGTCGTGCTTGATCAACGAAACTCATGGGCTATTTCATAAATACTTCTTCACTGAGGTAGCCATGAAGAAAGGTGTTGCTCACATCAAGTTGTCTAAGATTATAGCCATAGTGAACCGCAAGATATATTATTAACTGAATAGTGGTAGGTTTAACATCAGGACTAAAAGTCTCAGCAAAGTCAATACTAGCTTGTTGAGTAAACCCTTGGGCAACCAATCGTGCCTTGTATCTTTCAATGGACCCATCCTAACATCTCTTAATCTTATAAACCCATCAATTTCCTATAATGTTCTTATGAGGAGGTGGAGGTACAAGATCCCATGTATCATTGTTTAACAGAGCCTTGTACTCTTCCTCCATGGCGAGTACCCAACGGGGATTTTTCTTGGCAATAGTGTAGCAAGAAGGTTCAAGGTTGAGATCAATAGAGGCTTCCAAAGCATACCTAGGGTTTGGTTTGCAAACACCACTTTTTCCTTGTGTCATCATGGGATGAGCATTAAATGGGGTTGCAGTGGAACAAGAAGGTGCATCCAATGAGGTTGATGATGATGGGATCAATTCGGCAGAACCAACACCAATGAATATAATAGGTGGGCTAGGGGAGGTGGTTCCAGCAGGTACTATTTTGTGTACAGGAGAAGGGCACGTATATGTAACAATAGGGGGGCCAATCATAGTGTTGGTAGTCGAGTTGGGAAGTGGAGTTGTGCTGCCAGAAGTGCATGGAAAAGTATGTTCATCAAAAACCACATTTCGGGAAATATAGAGATGACCAAAGGTTAAGTCCAAACATTTGTACCCTTTGTGATGTAAACTGTAACCTAGAAACAAACAACATTGGGAGCGGTAGTCCAGTTTAGATCGGTTATGGGGTTTGAGATGCGGATAGCAAGCACATCCGAAAGTGCGCAACATAGTGTAATCAGGTTTTGTGCCAAAGTGACACTCTAAAGGAGATTTCATCTGCAATATTGGAGTAGAAAGCCAGTTAATTAAAAAAACTACAGTCTCAAAAGCATCATACCGGTAACGTTTGGGCATTGAAGGCGTAGCCAGGAGGGTGAGACCCATTTCAACAATATGGCGATGGCGTCATTCTACAGTCCCATTTTGTTCATGAATATGAGGACATGAGAGATGATGAGTGATGCCCAAATTGGAGAGAATAGGTAGAAGTGGCTTGTACTCTATACCTCCATCTATTTGTAGAGATTTGATAGAGGTATTCAATTAATTCTCCACATTCTCCTTAAAAACAACAAAGGTAGAGACAACCTAAGTTTTAGAGGCCATAGGAAAAATCCATATATACTTGTTGTAAGCATCAACAAAAATCAAATAATATCGAAAACCATGTCTTGTAGAGACATGGGCTGGTCCCCAAACATTAGAAAATAAAAGTTCTAATGGATACTTTGCAACAAAAGTACTAGTAGAAAATGGCAAGATATGACTCTTTCCCAGTGGATAGGATGGACAAAAAGAGATGTCCTTATTCGAAACTGGAAGCTGAAATGAAGATAAGATGTGGGTAGCTATTCACTTGCTAGGATGTCCTAGCCATTGATCCAATACTGAAATAGATACTTTCTCACCAATGAATGCCAATGGAGCTTTATTAGTGCAATTTGTCTTTAGTTGATAGAGCCCTCCTTTAATTAGCCCTTGGAGGAGAATTTTCCCGGTCGCATTGTCCTTAATAGAGAAGGCAGAAGCATCAAAAATAAAAGTTGCATTATTATCCTTACAAAACTAGCTGATAGAGAGTAAGTTCTTAGAGATATTAGGAACTCTGAGAATATTATTCAAAATAATGGACCCAGAATTAGTATTCAAAACAGAAGAACCAATATGAGATATGTCTAGACCTGTACCATGTCTGACTGTGATGTGATATGTTCCATGATACTCATCATGAAGAGAGAGGTTCCCAAGATCTGAAGTCATATGATTGGTTGCTCCGAGATCAGGGTACCAATTATCATCATGAGCTGAACGCGAAGATGATGCTGTATGAGCTTGCTTGGTATTTTTATTGGTAGTAAGTTCCAGATAACGACGACAAGTAGCTGTTATATGGCCAAGATACCCATAAAGTTGGCAAACTACTGTGGTGTTCTTGGAATTGGATCTACTTCGATTATTATTATTGTAGGAAGTTTTCTTGGAATTGTCAGAACCACCATCATTATTGAATTGTTGAGGCTTATAAGAAGATGATTGATTGTGATTGAAGTTTTTCTTCTTATTGGCCAAATTAGCAGAGGGAGAGTCCAACACAGATTGTGAAGATAAACTATCTAGTCTAGTAGTCACAGAGAGCACAAAGATATCATATTCAATAGGTAAACCACGAAGAAGATAATGAATTTGATCAACATTAGTTAGGAAGTATCCAGAGGCAGCTAATGCATCAGATAAACTTTTAATTTTCTAAACATAATCAGTGTCAGTGAGAGTACCTTTCTTCAAATAGGCTAACTCTAATTTCAAATCATGGATTCGAGTCTGACTTGTGAAGAAAAAAGAACATGAAGTCGATCCCTTACCTCTTTGGACGTCTTACAGTTGACTCTGTTAATGAAGATAATAACCAACTTATGATCAACTATTCTTGTTCGATTCATGCTACATGATCCGGGTTGCTGCGGCTGGATCCTTGGCTATTTTCATCTTCCAAGAAGAGTGGAGGACAAGGAAAATATCCGTCCACATAGCCATATAAACGATGCCCTCTTAGAGTTGGTGTAGTTTGAGAGCTCCAATGCAAGAAGTTGGTACAATCCAGTTTTATTGAAACTTCATTCATAAAACTGGAAAGGGAGACCACCATAATAGTTCGACCATCTGTCGATCCAGGTTGCATCTGTCTCTAGACGGCATGAGTAGTGGTGCTTGTCTTTGAAGCCATGGATGTTTGTCAAAAGGCTCTGATACCATATAAGAGAAAGACCAAAACAACGAGAGGAGAATGACTCAGTCGAATATTGATTGATCTCTTGAGCATTAAATAGAGAACTGGTTACAAGAGGATAACTATGTACACGAGATAACAATTACAGAGTTAGATTTTATCTAGGAAACTATCAAAGGATAAGCTACATGATAATGAGATAAGGTGATCAGTTATCTAGGACAGTTATCTAGGATAGTTATCAGAGATAATGATCTTGGTCACTAGTCTATCGTAACTACTGAGATACTCTAATAGATAGAGATACCCATATCTTTTTTCCTTTTATGGTTCTACCTCCTTTGAATTTATTAAAAAAGAAAAATAAAGGGATAAGTACACTGTCGTGGATGCATGGCTACTAATTATTGAAATCCTTCCTTTAAGCTTGTTATCGTATCTAGTTGAACTACATGAGAAGAAGAATTAAAACAGAGGCATTAGAGAGATGAAAGAAACGGAGAGTTGATTACCTTTGGATGTTGTGACCGTCTGAACGAACACTGGTGTCAGAAAAGGAAGTGGATTCCAATCGGAGATGAAAGGATGGTAAGTAGGGTCCGAAGTGTGGGGCAAACTAACATTCAGATGAAATGGGTAAAATGGTCAGAAAAATATCATAAAGGGCAATTTTGTTATTTTTAAAATTATTTAATGTGCATCTAATGTCACGTGATAATATTGACTAACAATCAACTAACAGTAGGAACATATTAGACACAATTCGAAGTTCAGGGACTGATTTGACACAACCCCCAAAGTTTGGGGTATTGTTCAAGAAAATTTCCTTGTATCTATACTCTTCCCAAACTGAGCCTAAGGCTGCATTTGGAAGTGATGTAAACGTCGAATAAGTGCTATTATGCACCCTAGTTCAGTTTTGGCACCATTTGGTTAGAGCATGAAAATGTTCTAATTATAGAGGTAAAACTACACACTTGTTATGAATTACCTCGATTTATGGTGTAAAGTATACTTTGATTTAAACTTTCCCCTCTTTTTTCCGTCAAAGTAAACAAATCATCCATTTCCCATGTTCCTTTCCATCTTAAGGTCTATTTGGTTTGTAGTCAGAATCAGAATCGAAATCCTTTGGAATCAAAATCGGAATGGTACATTCCCATAGTATGTTTGGTTCAGACAAGAATGGGAATGGAAATTGAAATCAGCAGGAATAGGATTTCATTCCCAAAGGAGGGGTAAGGAATGACCATTCCCTCAAATGAGGGAATGCCATTCCAGTAGGAATGGGAATAGGATTTTGATTCCAGATGGGGCTTTAATTTGCCGACCAACAACTACTTGATCTACTAAACCTACCATCGATGATATCTATAAACAACCTGCACAACTAATCACGCTATCTAGAGACATCTATTGAGATTTGAAGGTGCCTTCACTTGGAGGACAATGGATACTTCACATCTCTTCATGTCTATAAAAGACTCCACGACTAAAACATTGTTGATACCATCCTGTTATGTTTTCTCAAGACAATACACACAGAAGAAGAAGACACCCCCTATAATTTCATGGATTTACTAAACCCACCTTATAGTTTTCTTTTACTAAAGCACCCCCTATAGTTTGCAATCGGTTTACTTAATCGACCTTCCATTATATTACTGGAAAGTGACAGCTTTAACCCTAATGTCCATTTGAATAAACTCAATGGAAAAGAAATGAAAATGAAAATACTATTTTTGCCCCTAATAAGATACAAGCAACCATTCTATTTGACTCTATTTGGTCAATTTTGTTTTTTGTATGAAGAAGTATTAGGGGTACTTTTGGAATAAACAGCCATGGAACCATGCCCTTGAACATTTTCCACTCAATTTAGGTTATAATGTTACTAGTTTCAGATGGAAAAACAAACACTTCTTAGTAAAAGGTCAATTAAGTAAATAGGTTGCAAACTATTGGGGGTGTTTTAGTAAAATAAAAACTGTAGGATAGGTTTAAGTAAATCCATGAAACTATAGGGGGTGATCTATTAAATGACTCAATAGCCAAATGCCCACAATTTAACCGTGGTATTTTGCACCATTAATGCCAAATGCCCACAAAGTGGACATCCAATCCCACTTTTGCATGCTACTAAGTCAGATATTTTGTAACGTGCAAAAGGGGACCTGATCAAGTATGCACAACATAAGTAAGCACATTAAATGAGCACTTGATAAGTATTTTGACAAGTGTGAAAAGTGGGTTTTAATTTTTTTTCAAGGGTGGGGTGAGGGTATTTTAAGGGACAGGTGTCAAAAAAAATTTCAAGTACTTATTGAACATGCTTACAACGTTGTGCCTACCAGACCCTAACTGGTGCGAAAGTGCATTTGCATTGTGATCAAACACAGCCCAAGTTTTCACTAGGACAATAGGATGATGGGTCACTAGTCAGGATAAGAATTAGTTCAGACTTCAGGCCTTCAAGTCAACCAAATCCAGCCAAACTAGAACCGGTCTACCGTCCATTTTCAAATGACTTACAGTTTGCATTGTTGAATGCCATGCACGGTTTCGAAAACTGGATCAACCGGAACAAAACCATTTTGGCCACCAGTTCCCAAGTCAAACGGTCTAACCATCCAGTCCAAGTCAAACGGTAAAATAATCTACTATTTTACCATCATTTTTATTAAGGCTCCGTTGGGCTTGTGGGATGGGGATGAGAAAAAGGGAATATTTTAAAAATATTCCCTCTTTTCATATTTGTTTTGAGGGAGAGAGGGGGATGGGATGAGAAAAAGGTGGGATGCGAGATCTCAAAATCGTGGATTCCCGGTGAAAAAACTTGAGAAAACTCGAGTTTCCATCTCCTTCCTCCCTCCCACTTGCCTTGTCCATTCGACTTCCTTTGAGAAAGTTGTTGATTGATGAATGCGATCCTAATTCTCCGTCGTCTTCCTCCTCCCTCCCGCATGCCTCGTCCTCTATCGACTCTTCTTCCCTCCTTCAAGGTCTGATCATAATATATATATAAAAGAAGAAAAAAATTTAACGAAACAAAAATAAGAAAAAACATAATAGAGATTGAATTGGGTCCTTACCTAAATGTCTGGCTTGAATTTAATTGACAGAACTAAGAGATTGGTGTTGTGATAGCTTCGAGCTTCGCTGGTTTCCCAGGGTGCTGATAATGATGTCCTCTAACAGTGACCAACTCAGCTGCCATAGGATCAATAATAACAAGCGAGATGTCCGTGGCCGTAATTCTCCTTTCTGCGATTGATGAGATGTGGCCTGAGACCGAACAATGAAACATGGGAGATTTCCTCTCGCCTCTGATCGTCTTCTCCAACAACAATGATAGTAGAGACTTGAAGCCRAATGAAAGCCAAGAGAGGAGAGATTTTCAAGGGATGACTGCTACAATCTTCTTTGTACGGGTGAGGCTAACGATGAACGGGATAAGGCCGCTGCTGGTAAGAGTTGCAGCGGCAGTGATTAGGAAATAAAGAAAAATAGGGGTGACAAGAATTGGAAGGATCGATAAACGGTTGGAGGGATTTGAAATGATAGGAGAGTGGGAGAAAGATAAAATGTGGAATGAATTAATAGTAATCGAAGGAACAAGGCTGCCACTGCTAAGAGCTGCAGCATTGGTGAAAAGCGAGGAAGAAATAGGGATGGCGAATGTGGCAGGAAGTCGGATGAGGGAGGAGAAGTAGAAAATAAAAGAAAGAATGGAGGGAGAGAGGGAGAGCAGCAGTGGTGAAAAGCGAGGAAGAAATAGGGATGGCGAATGTGGCAGGAAGTCGGATGAGGGAGGAGAAGTAGAAAATAAAAGAAAGAATGGAGGGAGAGAGGGAGAGAGAGAATGAGAGATCGGAGAGGAGAGAGATTGCCACTGCCGCTCCTTTGGTTCGAATGGTCCCTCGAATACTTCAGTCCCTTTTACACTTTTCCATCTCATCCCATCCCATTCGAATGGTCCCTCCAATACTTCAATCCCCTTTTACGCTTTTCCATCTCATCCCATCCCACCCAAATCTTTCCACAAATCAAACGGAGCCTAAGATTATATTATCAAAATTATTAGGTTTGGTTCTAGACAAGGTGGAACCATCCCAAACCGATAAGAAGCTAGATGGTACTGAACCAGACCCTATTTTGTCTACAATTTGTCATGAGATTGAACCGATTATTTATCAGAAAAATTGGGTCTGAACTGTTAATATCCGATTAACGTCTATAATTTCATTCGTGCAAGGTTTTGATCTTACCAAAGTAGTAGACTCCGTGTCACTCCTTTTTGCTTACGCATCAACTTGTAAATACAACTTCAATGGCAATAGGGCTGTAAATGGTTAATGGCAGAATGGGTGAATGGCTGAATGGTATGGAAGAGAAAACAACGGAGACGCCAATGTTGACGTTGTCGTTGTTGCTGCCTCCACCGTTGCCGCAACCATGAGGAAAGGCGGAACCACAAAAGAATAAGGATTAGGGAAAATGACAAGTGGTGAGACTTGAGACAAAGGGAAAGAATGGCCATATGTTGGAAGGGTTTTTCTTTGAATGTTTTAATATATATTTGGTTCTGTGGGCGTTTATTAATAAAAACTCCATTATATCAGTGTCACATAGGTATTGGTGTTTATTGCATATAAAATCACTATTTGGTTTTACTGTTTATCAAATAAACATTAAAAATTTGAAATACTTTGATTTATGTGCATGGGGCATTTAAGGAAACGTCAAATTCATGTTTCCCCCAACCTGATGTGACGCATTTTAGCTGAGGTGGAAAGCAACTTTATGGGATGTTACTTGAAACGCCCATAAAACATCCAACCAAATAGAAAAGACAAAAAACATTTGAAATAGCATTTTTCAAATAAACGTTTATCTAAAAAACACCTCTCAGGAAACGCCCATAGAACCAAAGAATGTTTAATTAGTAATTGGGAAATCGGGTCTATCATAATTAATAAACCAGACCCAACCCATTCGGGTCAAGCTCTGTTTTTTAGGGTAAAAGATTTAAACATACCTTGACTTTTCCTAAATTGACTTGTACGTACTACATACCATGAATTTTGCAATTATACTTAAATATACCTTTACACTATTATCTTTGATAGTTTAATTAAAAGACAATTTTACACAGTTTTGTTTTACCTTGAGACACCACCCTACAAACCCTACTTCCTTAAGAAAACCAGTAATCAGCTAATTTATTAAGACCCTAAATTGGCACATTGTACAAAAGTTTATAATAAGGTGGTGAAAGATCCAGGCTACTCGTTTTTCTTATAATAATTTAATCTTAACTTCACATGCCTCTACTAAGAAAACATAGACAAATAGATTGTCCTGGTTGATTCATGGTAGTGGCCACCATTGGGTTTCTTCCTATTAAATTAATAAGCAACCTTTTACTTAGAATTCCAATAGCCTATGCATATTATTTTTTAGAAAAGAATCTACTGCTAAACTTTCACTTTTCTAGGAGCTACCAAAATCCTTAATAGAAGTAATATGGAGAAGCGGATTTATTTCTAGAAGTTTTAAAATCCTCAAAGACAATTCAATTATTTGGTTAAAACATGGAAGGGGTTTAAATTTAAACAGTTTAGTTCTTACAGAGACAATATGGATTTAAATTTAATATTTTTTTTATCAATAACACAATTCATTATATAATCTTAATAAAAAATTATAAAGAGGAAGACAAACTTTCTTATCTTTCAAATGCAGTTTGAGCCCGAAAAAGGAAAAAAGAAAAAAGAGAGAGAGAAAGGGAAAAGAAAAATAAAATTACAGTTGTGCCCAAAACATTGATTCCCTCTCCACCCCTTGTTTAGTTAACACATCAATAAAAGAGTTAGTTGATCTTTTTACCCAATGATTTTAACTTCCATTCCTCGAACCAGCCATCTAAATCTCCTCTTCACATTACTATAATGCCATAAACCACTGTTGTCTTTATTTAGCCATTCTACCACCACTTCCTAATCCCCCACAATTATGAGTTTGTTGATATTCATTTCCCTAGATTTTTGTATCCCTTCCAATAACTGCATGGATCTCGGCTCTAAGAGAGTCATCCACTCTAATGGGGCTTGAAAACATGGCTAGAACAACCCCATTCTCATCCCTGAAAACACCCCCAATCCCCAATTGTCCAGGATTCCCTCTACAACTCCCATCAAAGTTTAGTTTTATGAAACCTGCAGGTGGGGGGGTGTCCAAGACACACTCATCACTGTTTTGGTCTGGGAGCAGTTAGCAATCTCACCCCACTTCCTTAACATGTCATCCACTATATAATCTACGAATAGCTCTAGCAATTTCATCCATTGTACGACCCTTATAAGGATCAGAGACCTCAATTCTTTAGCACATTTTTCCACATCAGAGAATATCCTGACGTTCCTTTCTTCCCACTATGACTAGCATATCGCAACCCTCAGTCCTCTTCACATGGTCCTTCCTCTTTTCATACGCCACCTAAAAAAAGAAGGGGAAAATAGACTTTGCAAATTTGATGGAGGGTTCCAACTACCTAAATAAGAAGAGAGCCCACTCCAAAACAGACTTAGCAAATTGGCAAGACACCAGTAGATGAAAAACAGTCTCCCCATCAACTTTACAAAGAACACACTAGTGAGGGGACAAACAAGTATTGGGTCTTTTGTTTTAGAGTATATCACTAGCATTGAATCTTTCCAGAAAGGCTTCCTAGCAAAAACTACCAATCCTAGGAGGAATTGGTTTGCACCAAACCTCATTAACAGGAAAAGGGAGGGCTACATGACTGGTAGATTGGTTTAAAACTTTGAAGAAAGAGGCACAGGAGAAAGAACCAGTGGGGGTGGGGGTCCAGATTCTAGAGTCAACCTTGGCAGGGTCTAAGAAAATATTGTTTATTTAAATTTAATATCTGTTTAAATTTAAGGGTAATATATACCCTCTGAGGTTTCTTACAATCATAAAAACCTCCCATGAAGTTTCATTTTAACAAAAACCTCCCGTGTAGTTTTGATTTTTGAAAAATCCTGCATTTTCCTCCCTTCCATCATTGTCCCAGCCAAAAAAGGTTGGCCTATGCATTAGTTTTTCTGAAAATAGCCATTTTACCATTATTCCTATCAACTCAGATGGAGAAGTGCTAAAATACCCCCAAAAGAGTTTTAATTTTTAACTGAAAAAATTCTCTGGGTCAATTGAAAAGAGTAACGTAATTACATTTTTTAAATTCATTAGGATTGAGTGAAGTATAAAATATAAAAGGGCAAATATGGCAATTTGAATTATGATGAGACAGTAATCCGTTTTTTTTCTTTTGTATTGAATTGAGACAATAATGGAAGGGAGGTAACTGCAGGTCTTTTAAAAATTGGATGGGAGGTTTTTGATAAAATGAAACCTCAAGGAAGTGTTTATTATTGTCAGAAACCTCAGTGGAGGTTTTTTATATTTTACCCTAAATTTAAATAGATTAATCCTTCACTCCATCCAAATAATCCAAGATATGAATCTCACAAGGAAAGGCAAATCCTATTTAATGCTTACAGCCGAATAGACTACAGGAATGAAAATATCTGAAAAATATTGCGACTCCCCACCCTTAAACTTTAATACCAAACCTTGACTCGTAAGTCACACACCAACGATCAATCTTCAAATCTCAATTCTTAGAAAGTTACAAAAACGGGAATAAGACATTTCTAGTTCCCAAGCATTTCATTGGTGGGTGGTGGGTGGCGGGTGGCAAGTAATTTGGTCCATCTTCACCGTCCTTTGAAAATACGGACCGCAATGGCTCAAAGATGCTGATACATGGTCCCACCAAATACTATCCTGTCCCTTTAATTTACCGGTTACCCCTTGTTCTTCTTTTAATGCAGCTTGATTTACACAGGTTATCAGAACAGGGCAGAGGGATAAAATACGATTTTTAAAATTTTAAAATAACTAAGGTTATATCAACCTTTAAGTCTATTTGATTTACAGTTCTTAAAATTTTGTTAGTAGAGCACATGTTTAAGTCCGGTGGAATCAACCTATATTTAAGTCCATTTGGAAAAATGTAGGGAACTTATAAGTCAATTTTTGAAAACTAGGGTAATACTTACTCCCATTTGTGTATTCTTGGGCGTAACAAGTTTGAACAAGGTTCAAAATATCGATATGCCCGATGTGCTAGTATGAGCATATTGGGCGAATCAATACAGCTTTTTAGTGTTTTATTTTTTTATTTTTTTTCGCAACTAGTTCAGGGGAGCCGGTTTAGGCCTCCTCCACACCCTGAACCAGTCAGACCCCCGATACACCCACTGTAAGGGCATTTTGAAGGGGTCCCGGAATGATACGTATCGGCCAATATGGACCGATACGTGTCAATACTTTGAACCTTGAGTTTGAGCAGGAAAATAGGAATAAATATCCTAATCTGTGAAAGAAAAAGGCCTAACATTGCATGTATAGTAAATTAGGCTCAGTTTGGAAAGAGTACAAATATAAATATGTACAGAGCAAATACATACAAAATAATACAAAATACAAGGTTTTGCACTCTATGCTCCTTCCAAACTGAGCCTAGTAACGAAACTAGCAATGGCAGTTTATCTCCCAATTCCCAAAACCAAGTGGCGAAAATTCTACTAAGAGCTCCTTTCAGTTTGATTTAAGACCTGAAAATATTGAAGTACAATCTGTAGTCTTAAAATTATGATACCAATTTTTCTTTTCTTTTTCCTAATTTTAAGGATACAGAAACCATCACAGAACCAAAATGTGTGTTTCTCTCGGTAGTGGAGTCAGGGCTTTGGCACCCAACTTGGTTATTGTGTTTCAGAATTCAGACCACGCGTGCACCTCTTTGATCGTCTTTGTTCAGACCTTCGACTTTTGTGAAATCAATCTTTGACTAGCAATCATGATGAGATTTGAGACTCCCAAATAGAGAAAAAATGCATGCAGATGATTTGACCCCTTGTCAAGGGCAAATATCAACGATTCAAATATGCTTCCCAACCATCCTTCCCAAGCTTTTCTGCCTTTGTCAAGACATCATCCTTTGTGTCCTGTTGGTATTGGAGTGTTCTGCATGCAATATCAGATGCCAAAATTACACATAGAAAGATGCTAAAGTAATTAATCTTTCCGCAATACGGCTCATTAGAATTTTCCTTATACATAAGAAAAAAGGGGAGGAATAAATAGGCAACCTTGCTTGTAAATCAGCATCACCAACTCCCAACATTCTGACTGCCAGCAGACCTGCATTTGTTGCGTTGTTTATTGCAACTGTTGCAACAGGTACACCTCTTGGCATCTGCATCATTGAAACCCCATGCAATAAGTGCCTTTTGGTTCTCAAAGCCAATCCCTAGGTATGGTTTCTCTTTCTCAAAAACATGGGAAGAGAATGATGGCTCGAATTTGTGACACAAGAAAATGCATTGAAGATATTAGGAACAGTTAAAATGGTGAATAAAAACACAACAAAATTGAAAAGAAAAGAAACACGTTTTCATCAAATGATCTTGAGAAAAAGTAGCACAAAAAAAAGTAGGTGGGTCAGAGAAGATGCCACAATGGAAAAATCCCAGGCAGAACAACTAATATATTCAATATTTGGGCTTCTTTTACCAAATTTGAATTAGATTGGTAGTAAGGATTGAGAAATGTCTATTCACCTTCAAATTTCTTCTGCATTCCTTAAATCTAAACACTTTAAAACAACACATAAGGTTTTCTTTCTTTTTCTTCCTAAATGGATTAATTGATCAAGCGTCTGTCTCAGATTCCAAAACGCCAAGATTCTTGAAGGACACTGATATGTAACATTTTCTTCTTTCCCCTTCTTATTGACACAAATGAACAGCTAATATACATTAGCAATGCCATTTATTCTGAAAATCATATTAAGAAATAAAGATAAACTTAAATTTTAGACCTTTTTCTATAATGTTAAATGGAATTATGGACTATTTTAATAGTTTTTTGATGAAGTCCTTTTTTCATCTTGCCAAGTTGGATGCCTGGTTATGGGTCAGGTTTTGATTCTTGTGTCTGTCCATGCAACACTGGCCAAACAAACATTAAAAAAAAGAAAAAAAGAGGAGCCTTTTTACTACTACTACTACATCAGCAGACCTAGGTACTAAATGAAATGATGCCTGCAGACTGCATGCTAAGGGTTTAGCTTCCCTTGGCTGATAAAGAAAAACTACTATGGCCCCAAAGCATCATTCTACAACCAACCTATGAACTATGATCTCCCAGAGAAGGTGCCAGTTCAAGTCCTCAAAGCACCAAAAATAGCTGTGCCCAGGTGGAACCACCCACCCCAATTGGAACAGGAAAAAACATCAAGAGGTAACCCTCATGCTTAGAAGACAAAATCCCCTTGAGTTTATGAGGATTACCAACTGATGAAGAGTCGATCTCTTCTAGATGATTATGAAACCACAATTTAATGTAAGCCCATATAGTTTTTTTTTTTGGTAAAGCATATAGTTCAGGATAAGGCTTATTTTATTTTAAGTTGAGTTGATCCAAATATATCACAAATATAGCACAAACAAGTGCCACGAAAATAGTAGTTGATGACTTGATGCATCTGCTTGTATTGCCTATGTCAAAAATACACCAACCCATGTATTTCATGGAGCTGTACAATAGCAATATATAGTTTAAGAGAGATGTGTATTGCTGTTTACAAAATGTTTCAGTATCAAAAAAAGAACTGTATGGGATACCCTGATAGCCATGAGCAGAAGGTGCCTTTTAGTATTCTTAGCACCTCATCTTCTGAACAATATTTGTTTTCAAAAATTTGATTGTTTAACTATATTGCCAAAGTAGGGCACCTCTTCATATTGAAAGCATAATGACATAATAAACAGTTCTTAAAACATAAAAGAAAATTAAATGCTGTTTGATAAGAACCATGTGATATCACATGCAATCCAATTAGAAAAAGAAAAAATAATTCTGAAAACATCAATTAGAAAAAGAAAAAATAGTTTCAATATCACCATTTCTATTTTAAAAAGTAATTTCTAAACCAAATTCAATAACAAAGGAATGTCAATAATAATTCTGAAAACATCATCCTATGGTACCTGAACAATAGATAAGAGGGAGTCAAGTCCATCCAATGAAGAAGCACGCACAGGAACACCAATAACAGGTAAAGGAGTCAATGCTGCCACCATCCCTAAAATAAGGGTCCCGTTAATTTATATCTAAAATAAGCCCATGGAGAAAGAAAAGCACATATTTATGTACTGAGAATTCTTCTCCACTAACCTGGCAAGTGTGCTGCACCACCTGCACCAGCAATGATAATCTGAATCCCTCGCTCCCGAGCAGATATTGCATAAGAGAACATCATTTCTGGAGTACGGTGTGCTGAAACTATTCTCACCTGCAAAATTAAGTGCATAAAAATGGCAGCTATTGTTCAACCAATATAATCAACAGACAATGAAGCAATTTTTCAGAACTAAAATTATACTACAATAGAACCTAACCTCATGAGGTACACCAAAGTTACTCAAAATTCTTGCAGCATCCTTCATGATTGGGAGATCTGAATCAGAACCCATTATAATCCCAACACGTGGGCTGGCTAGACCTAGCAAATGAATGAATATGAGCAATCAATTCAATTCTTATACTGAAGACAAACTTACCGATACAGAATATAAATTGCAAATAACAATTGCCAGCATCATTTGTGCCCAACAAAAGCCAAGAAAAATGTTATTGCTATTAGCAGCAGGACCCATGGGTGAACTACGAAAATATGAAAACCATTAAAAGGGCCCCAGTGATAAGAACCAAGTATAAAAATTGAAACTAAAAGACACATCACAAACCAGGACACCATACACTTCATTAATTTCA